GGGGGGGGGAATTAGAAGGAAAGACAGATAATCCCAACAGAGAAATATTCAAAACACCTGAAAATTTCACAAATACATCATGAAGCTGAGTGGCAAAAAAATATATATACTCAATTTCGTTATTAATGAGCAAATATAAAATGAAGTTTTATATTTATATATAATATATGTAATATTATATATAATATATAAAATATATAATATAAATATGTACTTATATTTATAAGTAAGAGTGCTTAAAATTTAATAACTGTGCTGTTGAAGAATATGTGTGACCAACTCTTAATACAGTGCAGGTAGAATTGTGATAAAAATGCCTGTGGAAGGGATGGAGAGATAATCTAGAAGGTAAGGTCTCTTGCTTGCATGCAGCCAGCCCAGGATTGATCCTCAGCATCCCATATGGTTCCCAGAGTACTGCCAAAGTAATTCCTGAGTTCAGGTATGCACCCCCCAAAACAGAACAGAAACAATTAAAAATAAATAAGTGTGTGCTCTTTTAAAAATGACTTTGGATGTGAGTTCAGCAATATTTCTAAAACTGAAGAGTTTCTATACCCTTTGCCATGACCCTTCTACTCTTAGGTATGTCTGAGGAGAATGTCTATACTTTTATGCATCAGGAGTAAAGTACACAAATTCTCATTCTTGCAAGAGACTCATTACTATAAGAAAGACAAACTGGAGGGAAGACTTTCACAGACGTGGCCGTGAAATCTATCTGTTGCTACACACCATCTCATGAATGATCTCACAGACACCAAATGCCCTGAAAGAGGCAAGACATAAAGGAATAGATTCATGATAGCATTTCTTGGTCCACCTTAAAACAGACTAAATTCTGCTATTAAAACAGCATCGATTATGTTACATAAAAGTGGAAGTAATTTAGATATTCATCAATAGAGAAGTGGTTGAATTAGTTGTTTGATATTCCTAGAATTGAACACTAGATAATACGGAAGTGTACAGATTTCCACATACAGCAATATGGATCAATTTTATAAACACAATGCTGAATATTAGAAACAAAATGCAAGCAAATGTTTGGTTCCACTTATGTAAATTTTCAGCGTCAGAAAATCTAAATTGTAGTGTTAGAGGCAGGATTATTCGTACATTGGGGTAGAGTGAGTGGATAACTGCTAGGTGCTGATGAGTATTTCCTTTATGTTAGTGTCTTGAGCTTTGTTTTTATATTTTTATACATTTCTCTCTGTCTTATTTTGCAGTTTTGAAAGATGTAACAAAGAAAGAGATGGTTTGCTCTTACCACCTGGTTTTACATCTGAGCCTTGCTGCTTTCCAGCTGTGTAACTTTGAGCAATTTATTTAATAGCTCCAGACCTTGGTTTCATAGCTCTAATGTGAAGATAATAATCAAGCCTATTTTCTAAGGCTTGTTATAAAGATTAGACAAATACTGGCATCTGTGCTAAGATATTAAACACTTAAAACAACAGCTGGCACTTAACAAGTGCTAGCTGCGGATTCCTATTGTTATTATTGGTACCATTCCCAGTTTATTTGTGCAAAGGAATTTTAAGCTTGCATTGGAATTTCTATAACATGTAAATCACATGACTTCCTATGTACATTCTCACCAATGTTTATTTTGTTCACTTGTGTCTGCAAGTTATTTCACAAATTAAGCATTAGATATGTTACGGAGACATATTAATGGCTTGTAAATTCTTTGCGGTATGTTTTGCAGTTGGTCATTCCCAGCTTGCCATGGATAATATGCAGTATTACTGCCACCAGAAATGGGTCTATGTACTACTGGATTAACATTTCTTTGTTTTAATGGGGCCTCCCAGGTGGTATTCATGGAGCCTGGAACCACTCTCAACAGTGCTCAGCCTGTGATGTTCAGAAGACCATGTGGTTCTCTCTTTTGTTCAAGTGGTAACTCAGGGCAGAGAGAGAAAAACAGCTCATCTCTTCTCTCTGGCTTGGAGTTTAATCTGGCTCTGGAGTTCATATTTACCCTACAACTCTTTGCTAGAAAATTGCTCGGTTTTATATTTTTATTTGGTAATTAGCCACTTTTTCTTAATTTAATTTTTAGTTGACTTTCTTAGGTTTCCAAGAAGCCACTTAAATAATTTGCAACAATTATTTTTTTTGCATTCAAACCATTAATTTTTGTTGAGGCCTTATTGCTCTGATTATAACCTTCAGACAAGTGCTTATAAAAGTAACAAATTGTATTTGTTTGGGGTTGGAGTGATAGCACAGCGGTAGGGCGTTTGCCTTGCGTGCAGCCAACATGGCTGACCCGAGTTCGATTCTTCAGCCCTTCTCGGAGAGCCCGGCAAGCTACCGAGAGTATCTCACCTGCACAGCAAAGCCTGGCATGCTCCCCATGACGTATTCGATATGCCAAACACAATAACAACAAGTCTCAAAAAAATGGAGATGTTACTGGGCCTGCTCGAGCAAATCGATGAAAAATGGGAGGCAGCGTGTTACAGCGTGTATTTGTTTGGGGTCCAGAGAGATAGCTTAGGGGTCAAGGTGCTTCCCTTGCACACTGCTGACCCTGACTCTTTTTCTGGCACCACATATGCTCCCCCAATTACCACCTGGAGTCATCCTTAAGTGTAGACCACTCTCTCTCTCTCTCTCTCTCTCTCTCTCTCTCTCTCTCTCTCTCTGTGTTTACCTTGCATGTGGCCATCCCGGGTTCAATTCCTCTGTCCCTCTTGGAGAGCCCGGCAAGCTACCGAGAGTATCCTGCCCACATGGCAGAGTCTGGCAGCTCCCCGTAGCGTATTCGATATGCCAAACACAGTAACAAGTCTCACAATGGAGACGTTACTGGTGCCTGCTCGAGCAAATCAATGAACAGTGGGAGAACAGTGCTACAGTCAGTGCTAAGGGGCTTACTCTGGTTCTCTGCTCAAGGATCTGGTAGAGCTTAGGGGACAATATGATTGAACCAAATTTGTGCAAAGCAAGCGTCTTAACCCTTGAGCAATCTCTCTCGTCCTAACTTGCAATTTCATTACTTTTGAACTGAGTGAGAGAGACACACACACACAGAGACAGAGAGAGATCTGGAGACATTTGTGGCTGGAAATAGTACTCGTATGTCTTTTCAAAGTAATGTTTTGGGGCTCTTAAGGTAAATGTCAAGAGTAGAATTGCTGGGCATAGGGCAGCTCAATCCTTCATTTCTTGAGAAGTGCCCATCTTGTCTTCCGAGGGGGTTGAGCTAGTTGACATTATCAACACTGGATGAGGGCTGTTTGTTCTTTCTCATGTGTGCCAGTCTCACTGGTTTAAGGTGACAAGTGCCTGTTTATATCTTTCCCCATTTTCTGACGGGGTTGTTGGGTTTTTGGTTAAGTATTAGTGCTTTATATATCTTAGATTTCAATCTTTTGTCTGATGAGTGGAGGGGGAGCAAATATTTTTCCCCTACCCATGGGTTTCTTTTTATTCTTGTCACGGAGAGATATGCCTGTTTTACCCAATATATTTATGGAGTCAGGTCTGATATCGAAGTCTTCAATCCATTTTGAATTCACTTTTGAGCACAGTGTGAGGTACAAGTCTGAGTTCTTTTTATTTTTTTCTTTTACATGCGACCGACTAGTTTTCCCAGGACCATTTGTTCCATTTCATATTCTTGGTTCCTTCGTTGAAGATTAGCTGCCCATGTGGATATATACCAAAAGATCTCTGTGTGCTCTCGGTCATAGTCATGTTGTTATGAGATGTTTGGATAAGTCTTTTGGCCTTTTAACCATTTGTTTTGTTTTTTTTTCAAGGGAACTATAAAGTTGAAGGGCATAAACTTTTTAAAGACTTAAGTTTTTAAGAGTTGTCGTACTGCCTTTCAGAACACAAGATGCTTTTAGGTTACAGTATAAGCTTTATTCACAGTTTCATTTTCTGCAGTTTCAGTTACCTGTGGTTCAAAAATATTTGCTTAATAAGATATTTTGAGGGAGGACCACATTCGCATTCCTTTTATTGTAGTACATTGTTATAATTATTCTATTGTGTTATTATATAGGGCTGGAACGATAGCACAGCGGTAGGGCGTTTGCCTTGCGCGTGGCCAACAGGGCCAGCCCGAGTTCGATTCCTCCGCCCCTCTTGGAGAGCTTGGCAAGCTACCGAGAGTATATCGCCCGCACGGCAAAGCCTGACAAGCTACCCCTGGCGTATTCCATATGCCAAACACAATAACAACAAGTCTCACGATGGAGACGTTACTGGGCCCGCTCGAGCAAATCGATGAACAACGGGAGGACAGTGCTACAGTGACAGTGTTATTATATTATTAATATCTTACTGTGCTTTATTTGTCACAGCTATCTTGATATACAAATAAAGCACAGTAAGATATTAATAATATAATATATATGTACATATATATGTGAAAAAAAAGTGTGTACTGGCACTGTGTGATCTGGTGCTGTTATTCCAGGCATCACTGGGGTTTTAGAGTATATCCTCTGTAGGTAAGGGGTTCTACTGTATATTGAAAGTAAATGGGAATCTTCACAGTTCATAAGTGTGCTTTTTCTGCCAATAAGACTTCATTAAATAATGATAAAACCAGAAGGCAAAGACAAGAGTAATTCAAAATATTTGTCATAAAAAAACTGAAAGCCTGAAGCATGTTGACCTAGTTTTCCAGTCGAAAGCTATCTAGTTAATTTACTGTTTATTCCTTACCAGTTCTAACTCAGTGTGTACTTCCCCCCTCAATTGTTGAACATTTAAATAGTATCAGATAGTGTGAGGAAGAGGGAAAAAAATCAGCTGATATTTGTTCCCTCATATGGCTTATGGGATACTGTCTACAATTTTTTATGATTTTTCATATTTCTATCACCTCTAACTTCAGTTTATAGATGCTCATACTGGACTTTGCCTTACCTGGGATATCTCTGAGTTAAAGACATTTGAGAATCTTCCTAGGTCACTGACTTATATGACTTCCAATAAGATTAAAAAAATGAACTTTTCCTTTGTTTCAGCGACAGCGCACTGTGTACAGACTGACCCTAGTGAAGGCGTGGAATGTGGATGAACTGCAGGCCTATGCTGAGCTGGTGTCCCTGGGGAGTCCCGACTTCATTGAAGTAAAGGTGTGCACATTTCTCATGATGTTTTGCTGATCATGGTGAAGTTAAATTTTTTTTAAAACTTCCTAGGTGGGCCCAATATTTATTCCTTCAGAAATATTAATAATTTTTTCACTGTTTAGACATTAGAAATAATAGTAGTAAAGATGAAACTCTTGATCTTATAAGGCATATATTTTAGTTAAAGGTGAACTATCAAAAACGAATATGTAATATAGATAACAAATATGGAGTAATACATAGTATTATAATATATGATAACATGGTATGCTAAAAATAAGAGTTTATAGAGAGTAATGGAGTTTTTTAAATAAACTTTAAGAAAATTTAAAACATACACAGAAGTAGAGAGCTGACCCTTAAGGTGGGTAGACGCCATCCATATAATTGACATAAGACATTGTATTCTCCCAGACATACAACATTATGGTCTGACATTTGTATATGTTGTGAAAAGACTACCAGAATCATCTAGTCAACATCCATCACCACAGTTAAATATTTCTCTTGCGGTGACAACTTTGAGATCTGCTCTCCAAGTACTTGCAAACGTACACTGTTATGATCACCATGCTCACTTCTCCGGGATTTATTTATCTTATAACTGAAGTTTGTAGTTTTGACCACCTTAGTCCTTTTGACACATTCTCTATTCTCATGTCTGGCAACCACCGATCTGTTTTTTTGTAGCTGTGAATTCCTGGGAGGGAAGGGGTATGGGTGTCTGTGTCTAAGTCTCATTTAAGCAGTATTTTTGAATGAGGAACCAGACGAGGATTATTCACTGTAATTGGATTAATTTTCTCTTAAAATTGCTTTGAACTGTTAGTTCCTCACCCATGTGTTTCTTTTTCCCCACAATTAATTTTGTTGTGGGAAATGGATTATGTTTCCTGGGTGGTTTTTTTCCCCCCAATCATTCTGGTTTCATTTTCTTTTGTCCCCCTTGTTTCCTACATTTGATAATCAAAAGAAAGATTGATCAAATGCATGTGTGTGCATGTGTGTTTGCTTACATTGTAAGCATTGGTATGCTCCCAGCAGGAGGCATGCAATTCTTTTTTATTTTTTTTACTTTATTTATTTTTTTTATTAGTGAAATACCATGAGGTACAGTTGTAGACTTAAAATTTTTGTGCTTGGGTTTCAGTCATACAATGAACAATTACCCATCCCTCCACCAGTGCCCATTTTCCACCTCCACCACGGGTCCCAGTATCCCTCCCACCCCCCCATACCCCCATCCCACCCTGCCTCTGTAGCAGGGCATTCCCTTTTGTTCTCTCTCTCCTTTTGGGTGTTGTGGTTTGCAAAAGAGGCATTGAGTGGCAATCATGTTTGGTCTATAGTCTACTTTCAACATGAGGCATGCAGTTCTTGATTGTGTCTGTCACCAATGTTGCTTTGGAATATGAGAGAAATGAGAAGTGTTAAGGGTTAATGCATGTATATGTGTATTATATGGGTTGGTTTAGTTTTTAGAAATAGGAAGGCTCTTCTTAGATAACTTTTAAAAAATGAAAATAATATAAAGGATTCCTTTAAAAATGATATGTATAAGCTAATAACCTTTATACTATGTAGATACCTATAGAGAATACCTACCTACTAAGAAGGGACACAGTGTGCAGAGATTTGGGGACCAGAGTGTTCTGGGCAGATGGTACAGCCAGGCACAGAGGTCCTGCATGAGCTCAGCAGGGAGCTTGGGATTGGCAGTGATACAAGATGAATCATAAGTGGTCTGAGGCCAGATTTTGTTAGGCCTTTCAAACAAAGATAAAGAGTGTTGGACTTGATACTATATTTAATGGTATGCTTTTTTATTTAAATAAAAAAAACAGGACTAGGGTTTAAATGAATAGGAAAGAGTTTAAAGCTGAAGAACAATAAGATCTGATGTTTAATTGGATCACTCTGCGACTAGACGATGATGTAGAAGCTCACAGTTTATATATTGTTTAATCTAAGCAGCTGATTCAATGGCTTGGGAAAGTCATTGATAATATAGTTGAAGAGGAGCAGCTACGTTTGGGATAAATCTTGGAAGTGGAACCATTATAATGATGCAAATGAGATGTGGGGGTGGAAGAACAAATAGCACTAGAAGCACCTGATTAGTTAGCTCAAGCACTTTTGTATTGTGGGAGATTTTACCGAAATGAAAAAGACCAGTGGGGTTGGAAAGAGAGGAAAGAAAGTCCAAGTGGTAGGCCCTAGCATCTGTGTGGTACAGGGTTCAATCCCTGGCACCATGTACCCTTCCTTTAGTACCATCAGGTGTGGTCTTGGTGACCCCCAAGTACTGTTTCACCCAGAATCCTTATCCCTCCCAGGATGAAACCACCCCACCAGCACTAACAAGTTGTTACTCTTCCAAGTATGGCCTCCATTAAAAGAAAGACACAGTGTAGGAGGGACACAAGCTTGGGAATCAATAATCCTGTGTTGTATGTTGGTCTCGTTAAATTTGAGACATTTCTTAAATATACCAATTAAGGATTCATATTGACTGTTTTATATAAGCCCTGGGTTTCTTCAGATAAGACTGACCTAGTAATAATGATTTGAAAGTCATCAGCATGAAATATAGGCAGAGCTGTCTGTGACTTTGAAGCTAAAGGCATCCTTAAGGATGAAATGCCATTGATCAAGCAAGCAAGTGGAATCAAAGATAAACAAATGGGACCATATTAAATTAAGAAGTATCGGCAACTCAAAGGAAATGATTACCAGAATAGAAGACAGACCACATATTGGGAGAAAGTATTTGACCACCACTGGCCCAATAAAGGGTTAATATCCAAAACATATAAGCACTTGTTAGAATTCTACAGAAAAAAAAAGCCTATCAAAAAATTGGAAGATGAATAGAGATTTCCTCAAAGAAGAAATACAGGTAGGTAAAAGACAGATGAAAAAATGGTCTCTATCACTAATCATCATGAAAGTCATGAAAAAAATCAAGCCATGACATCAAGGAAATGCAAATCTTAACAACAGTGAGATTTCTCACACCACAGAGACTGACACTCATCAGAAAACAACAACAACAGCAACAACAACAACAACCCATGTTGGCAAGGATGTGGGGGGGAAAGGGATTCATTAATTACTGGTAGGAATGGTAACTGGTCCAGTCCTTTGGGAGTACTACATGGACATTCCTCAAAAAAATAGGAATTGAGCTTCCATCTGACCTAGCAATTTCACAAGGGTCCAAAAGCAAAATACAGAAAAGACATATGCTCTTCTATGCTCGTTACAGCACTCTTCACATTAGTCAAAACCAACCAAGTGTCCAAGAACAGATGAAGAAACTATGGTATTATCGGCATTGAGAAAAGATGAAGTCATGACATTTGCTTTTATGTAGTTGATCTGGATAATATTGTGTTGAGTGAAATCAGAGGGAGGGGAACAGACTCAGAATGATCTCTCTCATACGTGAGATGCAGAGACACGTCCTAGGGGCTTGTCAAGTTCACAAAGGCAATAGAAATGAAGTGCAGGAGACCTGGTCTTTAGTGGAAGCTTGGCACCAGGGCAAGGGTGGAGATAGGAAAATAAATTTAAAAAGAGAACATAGGACATTGCAGAGGGGAAGTGTGCCTGCCACAGAGGCCTGCTGGGGAGTAGGAAGAAAACTGGGGACATTAGTGGGGGATAATGGACTCTGGTGAAGGAATTAGTGTTGGAACATTGTACGCCTAAAACTCAAATCACATGTATCTTTGCAATTCATGGTGATTCAATAAAAAACAAATAAAAAGTCAATGCACACGTGCACAAAAGACTGTCATCAGCATGAGGGGGCAGGTAAAACCAAGGAGCATTAAGAGATAAGTGGTTTTGTTGGACAGTCCTAAAATCTGCAGAATGAGAGGAAGTGATGGCAAAATTCACCATGTTTCTGTGAACTAGCTCCTCCCGAGTTATGCCTATAAAATCGAACATACTCTGCTCTGTGTTGTATCAGGATATTTCAGTTTTACAGTTGTTCTTTAAGTATAAACAAATGAAATATTGCTGTCTCAGTGTAGCATTTTATTTCCAGTCAAGTCAAAGGTGGAGAGGAAAGTAAGGATTCTGTGGTGTGCTCAGGGAGTCTGCAGGCAATGCCTGGTGATGCACAGCCTGGCAACGTGGGCCCACGGTGCTCCAGGGACCCTGTGGTGCTGGGGAATTAGGACCTCACACAGGCAAGACGCACCAGTTCTGGTTAGACATTCTTTCTTTTGAAATTGCTCATAATTGCCTTAGGAAAACCTTGCCAACATCAGAGATAAGTGGTGTTTTAATTTAAGATTTAGCTATTAAAGAATGCTGCCTCAAATTATGTTGCAGTAAAATTTCTATTGCTGGCTGAATTATAAGATCACCTTTTTATATAATTTCATTTTCTTTCTCTATGCCCTTCCTTTTGCCTGTCTTCTTTCCTCCCCTTTCCTCCCTCCTTTTTCCCCCTCCCTTCCTCCCTCCATCCCCCCATTTCTTCCTTCTTCCTTTACTATCATGTTTTCTGTACTGACATACTTTTATTATTAAAAAAAATCATCAACATTAATTTTAAAAAATGGCTATCCTATAATTTTCTAATGGCTACTTTCAATTTGATTAACTATGAACATACAAAAGAGTCTTTTGTAGCTTAGATGTTATAACAGTTTCTTTCAAATAAGAATGGTGTTGGAGATATGCATTAACCCTTTATGCTTCTCATTTCACTCATATTCCAACGAAAACAGCACACCTGGAGGTGCTCAGGATTTATTCTTGGTTCTGTGGTCAAGGATCACAGCTGACTGACTTGGGGGACCGTCTGGGTGCCTTACCTTCTGTACTGTCTCCGGCCCCACAGGGCTGAGCTTTTAATGTCTGAAAAGGCAGTATTTTGTTGTCTTAACAGTTAAAATTTTCTAAAATGAAGCAATGTTTTGAAATAGTAAGCTCTTTCCAAACACAATTGATGAGAACTAGCAGTATAACAAATCAAGATAGCT